AGTGTGGGAACTCTGCCATCTCCATGGTATCAGGTAGGCCGCGGACCTTGACATTCTTCCATCTCCGCTTGTCCTCGATAGCTGCCATGTGTTCCTCGGACCGTGTTTGGGCGTGTTGCAGTTTGGTTAACGACTGCTCCAGGGTCGCGATGCGGGTTTCGTGTGCTTCTGTTGTGCGCTCTGAGTTGTGGAGACGAGCCGCAAACCCGTTCACCTCCTCCCTGAACTGTCCTATATCGGCCGCTATGTTGTGGCGAAGTTCAGCCAGCATGCCCCGCAGGGACTCCTCTGTAACCGGAGGCTTGACCAGTAGTGTCTGCGGAGAGGTCTGCACTTTGTTGGGAAGCTGGGTCTCAAAGGGCGTCCCGTCATACAGGGATTCTTCGCTGGTAGTGCGTGATGGGGCATCCGATAGCGGCGCCATGACAGGCCTCTGTGAGGAGTGCGGCCTCCATAGCAAATCGCCGATGTCGGCCGTGGATGGAGGTCGATCTGGCTTGCATTTCTTATTTTTGCGTCCCATGGTATGTGGGAAGTCTCCGGCTGCGGAGGGTTCTGTTTGTTAGTCGTTATTTTTGCTCGTTTTTGCCTTTTTGGTGCCGTTTTGTTCGGAGCTGCAGTAATGTGCGTCTTGCTAGTATGGCTGTTCGCTCCGCCCCCCCCCAGTTTTTTGGTTTTGAAATGCACGCTATTGTGACACCAGATAAGAGTGGCACTTTGAACTGGCAAAGGTTGGCAGAGTACACGTTGTAGGCCTGACACACAGACGCTTGGAGACAACTAACTGCTATTCAATCTATAACAGTGAAAAAAGTTTTTGGGTTTTTAAATGCACGCTATTGTGACACCAGATAAGAGTGGCACTTTGAACTGGCAAAGGTTGGCAGAGTACACGTTGTAGGCCTGACACACCCGCTTGAAGACAACTAACTGCTATTCAATCTATAACAGTGAAAAAAGTTTTTGGTTTTATTAAATGCACGCTATTGTGACACCAGTGAGTGAGTGGTGGCACTGGGCAAGTGGGCACAGTATACGCTGCGAGCCTGACACACAGACGCTTGCAGACAACTAACTGCTATTCAATCTCTTACAGTGAAATACATTTTTTTTTTTTAAATGCAAGCTATTGTGACACCATTGAGTGAGTGGTGGCACTGGGCAAGTGGGCACAGTATCCACTGTGAGCCTGACACACAGGCTGGCAGGCAGGCAACTGCAATTACATTACACAGAAAAAAAAAAGCAGACTGATGTTCTAGCCCTAAAAAGGGCTTTTTGGGGTGCTGTCCTTACAGCAGAGATCAGATGAGTCCTTCAGGACTGTAGTGGACACTGTATACACTAACCTAGCTATCCATTTCCCTATCAAATCAACAGCAGCTACACTTTCCCTCCTCTCACTAAGCATGCAGCTTGAGAATGAATCTAAGTAGGTGGGAGGGTCTGCTAGGGAGGGTGTGCTGCTAATTGGCTGGAATGTGTCTGCTGACTGTGAGGTACAGGGTCAAAGTTTACTCAAAGATGACGAATAGGGGGCAGATCGAACCGCGCATATGTTCGCCCACCGTGGCGAACGCAACACGCTATGTTCGCCAGCGAACCGTTCGGTACATCACTACTGCTATAGCATTATTATCAGTCTGCTAGAATGGCATGTGCCTTCTCCGTTGTGCTATTTTTAGGGGATTAATTCTTTGTAATAAATATGGGGATAATTTAATTTATTGCCTACCTGCCTAATACACACTATTCACAACAACCCCCGAATTCCTACTTCTAAAATAAAATTACTTATCACAGACCAAACAGCCGCGACCAGTACTAAAATTTTTATTTATTTAGAAATAATCCAAAAGAAAATGTCAGCTTGATCAATCTGATCACTGATATAGTACCATACAGCACAGATACCGTACGGTACAGTGATCATGCAGCAGGGAAAACCGCTTAAAATTTTATTTTATCACTTTTTCTCAAAGTTAGCAAAGAGCTCTGTGCCTCTTTTGCCTTATATCTAACTGAGTAGAAGAGAGAGGGCAGGGACAATGTCTTAAATCATTGGCTGAGACATTGTATAGTGATCGAGGTGACAGGCACGTGCCTCATTTTACCATGATCGGCCACAGGTGGACTGCCCAAGTTGCCTGGCAGGTCTTTCCAGCGCTAACTGCAGCATGTCAATGGAGGCGGACACGTGGGACAGCTAAAATGGCTGGACTGCTATGCTGCCTGGCGGCGTGTAATCCATGCTCGCCGTCCTTAAGGGGTTAATATGAATTTGAACTTTTAAAAAGTAACAATAAATTATTAAACTTATTTATTCTGTCATCTTTCTCCTTATATGCAGATAAAAACAGCTGGAACAGGCCATCTTTTAATACCCATTATTTGTGACATTCTCAAGCCACTCGCACATTTCAATATATTGCCACATCATGATTGAAACTCAGGCCGAGTCCATATATTCTAACAACAGATCTTTACACGGCCCACTTAATAAGAATGACCTATAATCCAAACGTTTTGTTACGGTACCTAAAGGAAATATCAAGGAATGACAGAAAGCATCACATCATACTATTACGCACATGCAGTTTTCAAATAATCTGGTTACCAACACCAAATTGCATCAGCTCCCAAACCACAATATTTTTTCTGCTTCCATCACTTCTTAATATAATGAGAAGTGAATCTTCTCTATAACCAAGCCCGAATAGAAACAATTTAAAAAACCCTTTGAAATCTGGTTTTAAAGGAGATTCTGAATTATGACCCAGATATGAACATGGAAAATAGAGGCAAACAACAAGTTTGCAAAGTCAAAAATCTTTTCCTCCAATATAGCTAGACAAAATAATCCACCTGCCCTTTCCAAAGTGATCAGTTTTGGAAAATCTCAACCAAATATCAACATGGGAACTCCTGACAATACATTATTAAATGGCAACTCTGACAACCTAACCTACTGAACGAAACTTGCTCGCTAATCCTAAATGCAACAAAGAAAGTCAATGAAAATGCAGCAGATTGAGGAATATGGACAACACTGAGAACATGCAATTGATCACACAGAGTATGTGAGCATCTCACACTTGTAAACTTAACACCCTTATAGTTAGCTTTTAACAATGGTTTCATCAAATGCACGCACCGCTGAGTTTTTTTTATGCATAATTAACCCCTTAAAACCGGAGGGCGTACTATTACCCCCTAAAGGCCGCAGGGCGTAATAGTACACCCTCCGGTTTTTCTTACTTACCCGGTCGCTGGCGATCGCTGTTGGGAAGACTCACCTGGGATCCCAGGGTGTCCCCCGCGGCGGATCCTGCTTCCTCTGGCCCCCCCACCATGTGAGAGTGAGGTCCTTGCGATAACTTGAGTTGTCTACTATTGCAAATGGTATGCCATTATGGGTGTAAATTTAATTCCTGGGCTACTATACAGTCTCAAAGGCAATGTAACCAATCTGGCAAATTTCAAATGTAATGTGCTATTTTTGACCCTGTAACTTCCCAAAACACCATAAAACCTGTACATAGGGGGCACTGTTTTACACGTCAGACTTTGCTGAATACAAATATGTGTATTTTATTGCAGTAAAAGCAAACACTATTATGACATTGACAGTTAAAATGTCATGTAGAACATAAAAAAATATAACAACATTTCTTTTCTCCCATTTTTTTCATATTAAATTATGTTTCATAGCTAAATATTTGATATTAATTGAAAGACCTGTGTCCCCTGAATAAAATGATATATAATAAGGGTGGGTGCATTTAATATTTAAGAGGTGAAGTACGGTTGGACAGACGTAGTGCAAATGCCAGGTTTTGTTTTGTTCACAACGTGTACATTTGGCTCAGTCCTTAAGGTGTTAAGTAACCCCCACTAAGCTTCTTGAAATACCATTTTCTTATTTAATTTATTTATATATAAAAAAAAAATATATATATATATATATATATATATATATATATATATATATATATATATATATTTATTTTCTTTTGACTATATACAAAAGCCGACTGATAATTTCCTCCAGTTGGGTCGCACTGATTAATTGGGTCGCACTGACAAGCTACAAGTTGGATCCGGTCTTGAAGGGCGAGTGGATGACAGTGCCCTGCTGGCTCCCACAGGATGTCGGGCACTCGAGGTAGTAGAATTGGGTGATTCACAGATAGTTCCAACAGGGTTGGGAACCAAGTCTGGGCTCTCCAGTGAGGAGTAACAGTGACTATTGTCACTGCTAGGGCTTTGACCCGGTAAAGGGTGCGTTGGATCATGGAGAAAGGCGGGAACGCATAGGCTCCCGTCTCCGGCCCAGGATGTAGAAAGGCGTCGACCGCCCATGACAGGGGGTCTGGGAGCCAGGTGATAAAGGCCTCCGTCTGGCGATTCAGACGGGATGCAAACAGGTCCAGTGTAAGGGGCCCGCGAAGGCAGAAAATTTGATGGAACAAGCGGGGGTCTAATTGCCAGTCGCTTACATCCCTCCAGTGGCGAGAGAACCAATCTGCTACTAGGTTGTCCGTGCCCGGAAGATATTCCGCTTTGACGGACAAATTCCGCTCTAGGCAGAATTGGTACAGATCCTTGGTAAGGTCGGATAGGAGCTTGGATCATGAACCCCCTAATCGATTCACATAGCGTACTGCAGAGACGTTGTCCATGCGTAGTACTAGTGAACAGTTGAAACAGTCTTTTGCAAAACTGCGAATCGCGAAAGATCCTGCGATCAACTCTAGACAATTGATGTGCAGTGCTTGTTCGGAGGGGGACCATAGACCCCCGGTGGATCCTTCGGCGCACGTGGCGCCCCATCCTAGGAGACTGGCATCGGATTCCAGAATGAAGTCTGGTTGAGATCCGAAGATGGCTTTGCCATTCCAGGCCTCCAAGTTGTGGAGCCACCAGTGAAGTTCTATACGAACTTCGTCTGTCAGGTGGATGAACTGATCGTAAGAGGTGGAACGGTGTAGGTAAAACGTCTTGAGCCGTTGCATGGCCCAGTAGTGTAAAGGCCCTGGGTAAATGGCTTGGATAGAGGCGGTCAGTAGGCCTATAGTATGGGCCAGATCGCGTAAGCGAATCTGATGAGCTGATAACAATTTGCGAATGTCTTTTTTGATGATTCTGATCTTTGCAGAGGGTAGTTGTAAAACCGCCTGTACAGAATCTATCAGAAACCCGAGAAACTGTACCTTTTGGGAAGGTTCCAGGGCTGACTTCTGAAAATTTATTACAAAACCAAGGTTTTGTAGTAGGGCCGACGTCATCTCTGTTTGCTGGCGTAAGAGATCTGGGTCTTGTGCCATTATCAGGATGTCGTCCAAGTATATGATTGACCGAATCCCCTGAGATTGGAGTAGTGCCATCACTGGTTTCATCAGTTTCGTGAAACACCAAGGCGCGGAGCATAGTCCGAATGGGAGGCATATGACTTGCCAGAAGAATTGCAGGAAAGCTTGATGGTTGCGAGCAATAGGAACTGGGAGGTATGTGTCTTTGAGATCGAATCTGGAGAACCAATCACCCACGCAAAGGAGGTCCCTGAGCATATGGATGCCTTCCATCTTGAAGTGGCGATATTTGACAAAGTGATTCAGGTTTTTTAGATTGATAATTGGACGTAGGTCTCCAGTTTTTTTGTGGACCAGAAAAATGTTGCTGAGAAAAGTATGAGGGAACGGGGATTTTTCTATAGCCCTTTTTATTACTAGCTTGTGTAGTTCGTTTTGTAGTGTCAGATTGTCTGATACAGACATCTGTGGTGGTGTCGGTGGCGTGTCTTGGAAAGGGGTGGAAAGGAAATCTATCTTGAACCCTTGGACTGTGTGTAGGATCCATAGATCCTGAGAAAGTAATTCCCACTGTTGGAAAAAATGTGTTAATCGACCTGCTATAGGTACATTGAAAGAAGGGAGATTGATTACCTGGAGCAGTTCTACCGCGTAGGGAGGCAGATCCACGTCTCCGGATAGACCCTTTATTAGTGAATAGTTGCCTGTGGTAGGGTCGGGGTTGTCCCGATTGCCAATAGTTCTCGGAAGGGCGAGGCCTGTAGCCTGTGAAGGCAACTCTGCTGTTCGTTCGGCCTCGATAATGTCCAGCTCTCCCAGAAAAACGACCTGCTTGAGAACGAAAAACCCTGCGCAGGGAAGATTGGGCCTTATTTAGGGTGGTAAACACCGCTACATGTTTGGAGAGATCCCTCATGAATGAATCTCCAAACATTAATCCATTTGCCTCTGGTCCCAGTTCCCGGGAGCTCAGATCCGCTAGTTTTGCATCTAGCTTGTATAGTGCCGCCCTGCGTCTCTCAGTGGACATAGCCACGTTTGCGTTGCCTAGGAAACATAAGGCTCTCTGGACCCACTCTCTAACTGTGTTTGGGTCGAATTCCCCACTAGTTAAGGCTTCGTCTGCCAAAATGAAAATTTGGATTATAGGGCCAGCGATGTCTAGGAGTTTATCCTGGGCCGTTTTAAGACCCTGCTCAATGCCCTTGTGAGGGTCTTTCCCTGACTTAGTGAGAAATGTGACAAACAGTGGGTCAAACTCAGGCGTGAGAGCCACCTTGTTTGGGATAGTTGGTCGAGGGCACTCCGCTCTGAGTTTCGCCCTGATTTCCTTTTCAAGTGTTTTGCGTAACCACATTTTACAAAAGTTTTAAATATGGTCTGGTGGGGCCCATTCTGCTGACCGTGGATGTCTGATGATCCTGGGATCAAACAAAGGGACACCCGAAGCATCCAGCAGGATGTCTGAATCGGGTCCCTTCTGAAGAGATGTTTTTGGGTCTATGTCTGTATGTGTGAGAAAGGTCTCCTTGACAAATTCCGATGGGGCATCCCCTGGCGCATTCGCCGAGGGGTCCTCATCAGAATATTCAAGGTAATAATCTTCCACTCCGTCTCCCTCATGGGATGTAGAACCCTCTAGGGGGTTGGGTTTGGCATGAGCGTAGCGGGTGTTTGCCAATTTCTGGGACTTAGTGGGAGCCTTACCTTTGCCCGCAGACCAACTATCCCCTTTCCAGGGGCGCTTGCGTGTGACTTCCTGATCCGAGGGTTGAGAGTCTTCGGAATCAGAAGGTAGACGCGCAGTAGGGGTGGCCTCGACAGAGGTCTTCTCATGAAAGGCTGCTAACGCCTTGGGAATGGTATCAGCAATGGTCGAAACCAACCAAGCTTTGAGCTCTTGGGAAATTGCGGGCTCACTATTATCAGACATGGTATGTCTTAGATTGGGTTTTTTTTTTTTTTTTTAAATATATATAAATATATAAAGGCAGAGATGAATGGGGTTCACCCAAAGTTATATATCAGGATTATAAATGGGGGTCACCCACAATATATATATATATATATATATATATAAAGTAATGGCTAATTTATAGATGGGGTTCACCCAAACTATTGTATAAGGGTGGCACTCAATAATTAGTGGGGTTGTCCACTAAAGAAAACACAAGTGGGTTGTACCACTATCATAAAAAAAACAGTGGGGTCACCACAGAATAGATAAGGTGTTGGATCACCTGTGTAGTTATGGGATATTTAGATAAGGGGGTCACCCTTAACTGACACAATGGTGTTTAGACACCTTGGCAAGAGTGAAGAAAGGTGGGGGTCACCCACAACAAAACCACTCAATGTAATAAGATGACAGAGGCAAAGATTGGTGGGGGTCACCCACAAGGCCAGTTTATTTATAGGAAGTTTGCAGGTTGTAGATATAGCCTGTTTGAAAAATGTAAAATAAACAAAATCAATAAGTGAAAATGGAGCTGAGCACTTAAGGTGCTTGAAAATAAAGAAGGTGGTACTTACCAGATCCTAGTGACAGCCTGACAGGATTGCTGAGATGGAGGCGCGATTAAAATGGCCGCGGCCAGAAGAAGGGCGGGAAAAAATGCACTTGTTAAGTGCAAGGGACGAACGGGCGGGGAACCACAAAAGGGCGCGAAAATTAGCCGCGGACTCCTGGGAAATGGAGTCCGCGGCTCCTGACAGGAAGTATAACGGCGAAAACCGCGGTCTGTACCGAAAGCAGGAGAGGTGAATCAGTGAATTGCGGGAGTGAGACTCCTGCTATTTAAAGTAACAGTAATTAAATAAAGTGAGGTAAAATATGTTGACTAGTGTTAGAAAGGTGGAAATAGTAGAAAATATGAATGGCTGGTACACAGAAAGTGGTATTAAAGTTATAGCTGAATGTATAGTGTAAAATATTTTGACATTCAAGTAAGAAATTCAAGTAAAATATTTATTGAAGGCTAAATGGTATAGCAATATAATTGGAGTAGACTCACCTGGGAGGCAAGCAGCAAAGAAAGAGGAATTGGGAGGAGCTTGATGACATCATATAATACTGTTATACACTCTGATTGGTTGATCTGTTTATACTATTGTTAACTATTTCTTTGCTGCTGGGAGAAACCGTAAAGAAAGATAAGCAAATATGAAGCCTCCTGTCCTGCCATAAAATTACTTGCTACATCACCTATTTGTGAAGCATACAACTAGTATGTGTTCCCTGCTTACAAGATCCTGCTGCAAGTATTTCTATTGGCATGTGCAGGTCTTGTCCAGAAGAATCATTTCCTGCATTTGCTAGATCTCCCTGAAGCAGGGCACACAATTTACACAAAGGCACCACTCAGATGTTCTGAGTCTTGAAGGAACATCAGGTGCTTCGGTGCTCATAGGTGTATCATCTGTGGGTTCTTCCACTAGCGGGTCCCAGTCAAGTGTATTCACTGTCTCCACTTGAGACAGTTTGGTTAGTTTGGTAGAACTCTTGATAGAAAGTAATATTTTAGTTGTACATATCAAATAGTTTCCTGCAGTCACAACATGTTTGTGTTTGTATATTTATGTAATTATTATTTATATAGCACCAACAAATTCTGCACTCCTATACATAGGGTTGCCACCTTTCTTGGAAAACAATACCGGCCATACTAAATTGCATAATTAATAATATATGCATGACATCACAGTATGTAAATCAGAAGGAGTGAAATAAGAGTAAAAATAAAAAAAAAGGGAAATGGGAAAAATGCTGTAAATCACAAAAAAATACTTCCAGTCAGATTCTGCTATATAAAAGGATTGCTTTGCAATTTAAGTGATTGGACTTCTCTTCTAGTACTCACTCAATGTTCCAAGCGTCTTCGTCACATCCCCGTCTGCATCCTAGACAATATATAGATATACACAGGGGGTTTATTTACTAAAAAGATAATTGTAATGCATTACAATCTGAACTGCAAAATGTAGATTAAAATAGCCAAGCTGTGCCTAGATTGAATTAGAGAACTTTATCAAATTAATTATTTTTGTCTGTAATTTACAATTAACATTTCAATTCACTACATTTCACAGTTAAGCTACCTCTGTAGTTTATTCCCTAACCTAAATAATTTACTGTAGAGAATTGAAAACCAATCTACAAAGTTAAGGCCAAAGTAGTGGATTTGGGGAAAAAAAATCTAATTCTGCTGTTGTCACAGTATGTATAATTTTTGCTTTAATTTTGCAGTTTATTTTTCTGTTGCATTTAAGTATGTAGGGGTGAATTTTATAAACCTTGTAATAGGCACACTACAGACACATGAAGCATTTCAGCTTGCTGAAGTGCTGTATGTGTCTGGAATTTGTTATTTTTAAACAAAACAAACATTTATAAAAGTGTCAATTTTAATAGAAATCAGCAATGCAACCCGTTGATGTTATTTTACAACATATGTTAATTAAGTCAGAACCACTGCAAAGTATTGCTGAATGTTTGCTCTAGAGCAGGCTTCCCCAAACTTCAGCCCTCCAGATGTTGCTGAACTACAACACCCATGATTCTATGAGTGAAATAGATAGACTGAGAATCATGGGAGTTGTAGTTAAGCAACATCTGGAGGGCAGGAGTTTGGGGAAGCCTGCTCTAGAGCAAGCATGTCAAACTCAAAGGTTAACACGGGCCAAATAAACAAGGTTTACGTTTATGTGGGCCTCAAAAAAACAAAAACTTCAGTTTTCATTGAAACGTTGGCAACTTTTTTATACTGTACTTTTCTAAATAAAACTGTCTTACTTTAAAGTAAATAAAGGAGCAAATTTATTTTAAGGAGACGTGCATTTGCACGTTACAAATGTTTCAGTCAAACTAACTTGACATATTAAGAAAAGTTT